CCATTTGTGTGCCCACTCAGGACAGGTTATTCGTCCCAAAAAAAAATTGTCAAGACGACAATGGTTAGGTCAAACTTGCAGTAGAGGTGACACGAGTTGATATCTACGAACCCTCCAAGGCCACGTTCTTTATTACTGTTCTATCTATAAATTAATATATTATGCTCATTCTCTCCTCAGCCAACATCCAATCCATCTATAGTATAGTTCTGGTGCAGAGCTTGCAGTTCATCCAGATAGAGATCTTCATCACAATCATCATTCTCTTCTTCTTTATCACCAGCATTGCATTCTTCTTCCTGTATTAGCGCTCGAAGTTCCTCTCTTGTCACAAAGTAACTTTCATCAGGTGTGAAATGGGGAGCAACATCCAGAGAAGCAAGGTCAAGCCTCTCGCAGGCATCCCTAACATTCTGGAAGGTTGGACGAAGCTCCTTATCCCATTCTTTAGGGTTTTGCCTCGGCCAGCAATAGCAAGCATGGCATCTCACTGTTCTTGAGAGCGTTCTTGATGGGTCGCACTGCCTAGAGCTAATAGCAAGCTTGCAGCAAGGAAGATGCTCAATATCTGTATATGAAAGCAGCCTTCCTGAAAGCTTGTTTCTCAAGTCTCCATTTACATCCAAAACCACATTGAAAGCCTCACGCTCTTGCCTTGAATGTTTCCAACGCTCGATCACATAATCCGCAACAGCAATTAGTCGACGAGGCTCAACTTCCAGATCTAAACGCTTCTTATCCAGTTTCTCGTAGTGCTTTTTCTTCACTTCATCATCACACTCAGCAGCAAGATTGTAAAGCCGATGACCTTCTCTCCCACCAAAACCGGGAAAGATACTCTGAACTGTAGTAGCCCCAGCAAAATCGAGAAAGTACGTCTCCCCGTCAACTGCAATTTGGTGCGCTAGTGCGTAGAGTGCACGCTGCTCTTGATAATTTCCTGCAAAGGATATGGCTTTCACTATGGAATGGAGCAAGTATTCTCGTTTTCTGTCTTCCCAGTTGCACGAGAGAGTTTTCCTCAATTCTTGGACGACAACACCATCGCGATGAAGGGGAGAGTCCATCCCAACCAAGTACTCTGGGAATGAGTCTAGGGCAAACTTTGCCATCTCGCGCACATTCTTCTTCAAACGTTCCGGAATCATGCCATCGTGCTGCCTTGAGATGAAACCACCTAGGGGAGCATCAAGCTTGCCTCCACATGAATCAACTAGAAATTGATTCCACTCCTGAATTGAGGTCTTCTCAGGTCTAGGAAGAATTTCATTCTCCGGTGTTGAGTACCTTTTCTCTGGGTCTCTGACTTGTGCTTTCCATTCTGGAAACAACTCAAGCAAGTTGCTGTTCCCAGTACAGCGGAAGATCAGAATCTTGAACAACATGTGCCCGAAGAAGCTAATGTTATTCTCCGTCGCCTGGGGACAGGCGTAGCCCCTGCCAAGCTTGTCTGCTTCCTTTGCCTTGGATCCCTCTTCGTCTGTGGTTGCCGCCACATCAATATCAAAATCACCACTACCTGGCCTTTCCAGTGTGAAAAGTCCATTAGGCTGGAGACCTGGGGCTCTTCGTTGGATGCCGTCATGCACATTTTGCACATTCTTATTGGCTTCAGCAATCAAATTCCTTGCCGTTCTCTCAATTTCGCTGATAATGCAGTTGGTAGAAACATCTAAAGCCCCTCATTGTTGGTGTAGGACGTAAGCGATGCATCGGTAACTTGTGATGTTGCAAAACACCTTTGCTAACATTGTGGATGGGGGTAGAATAGACAATGTCATTTTTGTGCATTCCCTTGTAGGTGTTCCCGGATATAGGAGCTTGTCCACAGAGTTCTCTAGTTTGGTCAACTGGTGATAGGCAGACAGATGGTTCTGATGCTCGACAGGCTCCTCCCCATGAAACAAAGTAGAGGGAATTGATTGCCTGAGATGTTGACATCCTGTAGCTGCAGCTTTCGCTCTTCTTTTTGGCTTCTTTGTTCCATTCAATGTAGCTGTCAATGAAATTTGATGGATCATTTCTAATCAGTGTGGCGAGTATAGCTTCTCTCTTTATGAACGATTCAGGAAACTGTTTGGCCTTGATTGAGGATAGCTTGAGGTTTGAATTCCCTACTTCTGCTGCCACTATCATTCTCACTGCTTCTCGATCTTTGTCAGGATTTGGTAACTGGGGCAGGGGCCAAGAGCTGAGATAGTCAGCATTCTTGTTCTTCAACTGCTTCAGCATCAGCTCTTGACATTCAAGGATCGATGCTTTGACTTTTCTTCGATCTGCTAAGGACGCCTTGACTGTCGCATAAAGGTTTGGCTCGTTCCTTTTGAACAGATACTTTAGTCTAACCAGAATATCTGTTTCTGAGTGCAACCCATAGACAAGGTGATGAGCCAATCTTCCAAGCGAACGAAAGGAGAAGTTTTGCTTTTCTGAAGCGTAGTATTGCGTATCATCTTTGTTGCAAAAGACGTCACCAAACCCATCTGTAGCTCCTTCGAATTTCAGCACACGATAGTAGCCCAAGAATTGCAGTGGTGTTCGTTGCACATCCTTGCCGGTACAGCTCCCCCTCAACAGCTCCTTGAGGTCATCATCAACCCATTCAGATTCATCGAGATGAGCTTCGAGATCTGTAGAAAGAGCCAAACATTCAAGTTCCATCTTTTCCATTCGTTTCTCCCATTTAGGTTTTCCCTGGCCTTGGGTATTCTTTGCATGGCAGTTCTTGGTCGTTGGATCCCATTTACTCTTCTTCTTATCGCTGTCTCCCGCTTCTTGGCCCTCTGTCTTGCTGCTATCTCCCTTTCCAAACATAGTATTATTGTTCACCACAACTCCAATAAGACTCTGATCATAGAAGTTTTTCGTCAAAGCCGTGTTGGTTGGTTCCTCTAACTTCTGGCCAGACCCCACAGTGATGTGAGAATCGTCAGTCCTCTTGTGAATAAGTTCCGTTACGTTTGCACCATCAAATGTTGCAGATCCACCTGAACCGAACACAACAAGAGGGCATTGGTGTAGGTAAGCATAAAGCGATTTCATTTTTGGCATTCCATGAAGTTTCTCCACATTTTCAGCAAGAGAAAGCCTTGGATTATGCTCCCTTAGACAAATCTCTGTGATTGCTCTTTGAATTAGGATGTGCTTCATTAAATCTGCCACCTGTTTGTAGTACCGTGAGAGAATCAGCATGTGGCGATGTTCCATAGTAGTCGGTGTATGATTCATCACTGTCTGCATAACAGCTACATCAGATAGCTCCATTGGTGCTGCCCCGGCCATCGGAACACCATTCTGTGTGAACAGAGGTGCAGTGCACGGAAGTTGCTTTTCGTCGGTCACTGAGAAGAGCTTCCCTTCTCTCAATCCATGTTCGACCACTACCCTATTATAAACAGGGTGTCCATCCTTTTGATTCAAACCAGTTGTTCTGCGGGGTTTGACACAGCCTATGTTTCCTTCCTCGTCGGTTTCCTCTGTTGCTTCCTCAACCGCCTCCTCTTTTGCTTCCTCATTGCGGTCGTCTCGGGTACCAATCATTGGGTCAGCTGCTGGTTTTCTATTGTCTTCCTCGCTTTCGGAACTAATACCACCATCATCACCACCATCTCGCACGGCCCGAGCCACTTGATCTTCCTCCATCATGTCTTGTGGAATGGCTAGCAGTCGACTGGACGTGCCTTTCTCCTCTCCTGTTGGGCAATCTTCCTTCTTTGGCATGTGCAGGAGATGCTCCCCTGAAGAACCAGGCAAAGGTTTTGGGAGTTGTGGGCCCGACTTCAGATTATTATTTGTTCTTGGAAAACCTGTTATCTCATCTTGCTGACTGACATCTCGAATTGGGAATCTCTCCAAATGGAAGTAAGCACGCTGAGCAGCACTCAGTGTCAAAAACTTCTTCTTTGGGGTTACAATAACCCGTCGTCTGCTCTGCTGTGGAGGTTGTGGAGGTAGTATATCCTCCTCTTCAGGAGGCTTGTAATGAAGCGAATAATTCCATTTATCAAAGCAAGGTTCCACTCGTATGGGCACATCAAGCTTTCTCCGATCAGTGACAACATTGGTAACAGTAAAATCCTTCAGGAGAACAAATGATGAGTTCTCTTGGATGAAAGATGGCAAGACACCATCATGATATGCTGCGAGCAAGTATGCCTCGGGCTCTCTGTTGGGGTCCATCGTAGCACGGAATGTGATGACACAGCGGGCACCGTTGAAACTAGGCACACATTCGAAAACCAAAACTCTTGTGCCATGTTCAGTATTGTTGTAATTACATCGAATCTGAAGATGAAGGAAGTTGGACCCTGTAATTACCCCTCCCATCCAGCTGTGGCCATTGTCTTTCTGGGTAAAATCCAAAGCCGTTCTTGCCGGCATTTCATCATCTGCCAAAACCCAAGTCAAAACCATCAAGCGATCATTGGTGGGGAAAGCTGTCGGTCTCTCCGCATTGCTAAAGATTGGCTTGTTGTGTGGGGATCTCAGCTGGTGCCCTCGTCGATCATTGCAGTCTTGATGAGCCGCGTAGCTGGTGAAGTATTGAGAAGCTGTATTGATCTGAAGATTCAAATCTTGGTTGGACATGAAGTAGGAATCCCACTGGCTCTCTGCAGCAAAACAGTCCTCCGTGTCCTCGTTGAGTTGACTAAGCCTTTTGTTTTCGGGAGTCACAAACACAGGAACACCCGCGGGCGACCCCCCCTGTGTCTTCAAGGATTGATCTGTCTGTCAGCAAGGAGCATGGCATACAAGCACACAAAACAGTCAGCCCACTCACATTGAAGCTTGCTACATCGCATGAGCCCATGCTTCCATCATCTTCAGTTTCACAATGTGCTGATCCTCCTTTTTGGCGCTTTGCCACCGTAGATGATTCCGTAGGCAGCTTTCTTTTTCCCAACATGATGTTGTTGCAATGATATCCTGTGCCGGCTACTGATCCCTCTTCTGCCGAATCCGATGTTTCAGACTCAGCTGCAAAATCCAATGTATCAGAATCAGCAACCGACTCCTTCCCATCCTCACCTTCAAGAGGTGTGAACTCGTATGATTCAGATTCAGCTGCCGAATCAGATGTTTCAGAATCAGCAACCTCACCTGCAACAGGTGTGAACTCGTATATTCCACCATTCGATTCTTCGACTGGTTTATTCTGTGTTTTAACGCCTTCCATGTGCCTTAGAAACTGATCAAAAGGAAGACCAATGGTCGGCTTCGGCACCTTCTCAGGTTTGACTTTCTTTTCCCTCATCTGTGCGAGTACAAAGTTAATGCCATTGATATAGTTATTCAGCAGCTCATTGGCAAAATCAAAGATCTTTTCATCCAAATCCTCTGCGGGCGTAGCCAGGACAGCACGATTCTGCCCAAGGGGAACAACAGGAGTTTGGACTTTAATGGACTCTTCAAGGCTCTCTTCGTTTTGCTCCACCGGCAAATCAGGACGGAAGGGGCACCGCAAACTCCTTCCTTCGTTGGTACTTGTAGTGTCAACAATCCAAGGTTGTTTGTTCTGAAACTCAACCAGTTTGTCCTTCAGATCCCCCGAGATGGCATTTTCAAAGCCAGCCACACACGGTCCAACAGCATGTACTCGGCCAGAGTCCTTTCGCTTTGGGAGCAACTTGTTTAGTAACTTTTCCCTGGCAGCTTGCTTGGCCTTTCGAGCGTGCGAACTTCCCCTCTTGCGAGCTCGCTTGGCCTTAGGTGCCGTCTTGTTACGTTGTTCTTTATGTTCTTGTTCTTGCTGTGTCAAAGCAGCAAGCCTCTGCTTATTTTCAGGGTCTCTCAAAAGCTGGTACTCCTTGTCACTTCGAGTCTTCCGAGCCACCTTTCTCTCCTCTTCAAGAATCTTGCAAGCATGAGCATTCAGCAGTCCGATTATGCTATAGACAGGTCTCTGAACCTTGGTGGCGCGGAATTCATTCAATCCTGCAGCTTTCCGCAGCGCCCTTCCTTTGGCACTAATTAGATCTGCCGGAAGGCCCACCCTTTGGTAAGTTCTTGTTATTTTGTTCATTGCATAACTGATTGCCACAGCATCGGCATTCCTCTCCGCAAAAAGATCTCCGAAGTATAGCGGTTCGTCGGTGGGATCATAGTCTTCATAGTTGTCATTCCAAACTTTTTGGCACTTTTCATACTTTTGAGGAGGACGTTTGCTGTGCTCCTTTTGGTCTTTGCCACCCTCTTCGTCCATTCCAAGTGCACCAGGGTACCGTTCGATGCGCTTGACCTTTAGTTTGTCACGATCCATCAACATCTCAATTGCTTTGTTGACAATGGCAGTGGAGATTGATTCGCGTCGGTTAACCTCACGTTTCTTCATTGCTTGTGTTGTTTCTTCTTTGATTTTGTCTTTGCAAACTGTATCAATCTCTTGAAGAATTGCGACAATTTCTTGCCCATCAATTTGGCTGCCATCACGTTCAATGGTGTATGGGGAACCCTTTGACAGCTTGTGCACTACGCTAAAAGCTAGTGTAAAGATCTTTCGAGTGTTTTGAGTTTGAGAGAATGAAAGTTATGAGAGGATTAGAAAGCTATGAAAACTAATCAACGAGAGAGATCCACAATCAAAGGATCGTAGATTGAACTCCCGCGGGAGACTGTAGAGTGAGATAGAGTAGGTTGCGGTAGCAATCCTACTCGTTCCACGATCCAAAAACGGAACGCGTGGAAGATTCGTCTAGCATTCTAGTGCGTGGAGTACTCCACGCTGGCTAAATATTAGAGCGATGTTTCATCATCAACCTAGTATGATAGGGTCATTGAGAATTCTGTCCAATGACTATTCGCGAAGGACTACGTCATGAGTCGAACCCAGACCCTATCTAGGATCGAGTCGCGAATAAGGCTAAGAGCGTGTATTGCTCGCCCCTGACAAGGGTACGGAAGGACGACATCAGTCGACAAGGAGAACAATTGAATTAAAGTGCGGGGCACTCTCCGAGATTGGTGTAGACATGTGGTCGCACGATGGCAATCCCACAAGGGGATCAGGCCTTGTATGGGTGTAATACCTTATGTTCCAAGTCTGGTAGACTGTGCGCTATTGGCGGTAGTATGTCGGAGCCGTATAGTGCCATTGTTATTGACTCGGTCTGTGTGTAAGGACCTTGTGCGTTGGCTAACGGTTTTGATACTGATGATCATCATATGTCGTTGACATGGTGTTGACGAGGGGCACGTGCCGTGTTTTCCTTATCGGTGTTTTTCTGGATAAGTCGTTGGCGACGTTCCTTATGTATTTCCGTTTACTTGAAACGGATGTGTGAAGCTTGTCACGATTGACGCGCGTGAACTTGCGACGAGTCCAGTTCATCCCGAGTCTTCTCGATCTCTACGCGGGACTCACGTTTCTGTCCATGACACCGGTCATGGATACTGGTAACACGTCTGTTCAAACGATGGTTACTCCGTCTGCGTCTTGGAGCGCCCTGGAGTTCATTGGCCAATGAATCTACGGGTTTCTTCCTGTTGTAGAGGAGCGATAGCTGGATGCATTTGTTATCTTTTTAGTTAAGAGTTGGCTTCCTTCTCGAGAAGTCCATTGTCTAGATACTCCAGTTTTCCTATCGAGGAAGACCTTGGTAGTGTGATTTCAAGCCCGACTTCTTGAGTCTTGGAAAAGGTCATCCTACTGTTCAACGCGATCTGCGAGATCGACGTCCGTTAGGATGAGTGATCATCAACGTATGCACGGACATTTTCTAGTCATGCATGCGTGCTTTCATCTTTCTTTGGAAGATGTCGGACTATTACATAGGCCCATTGCAACCTCTGGTATCGTGCTTTCCCTTCGGAGTGCAATGGTATAGTGTTGCTTCGAGTGAGTGAAGCTCGATGTGGTAGTATCCCGTGTTCGGTCTAGACTGGTAGCGCACTTGATCCATCTAGGTTCAAGAGCATGTCCTGTATTTTTGGGATAGGATAAGGCTTCTGCTTGATCCGTTTGTTCGGTTCCGAATACCAGAGATGAATCGTACAGATCCCTCTTTCTTGGAATGATGAAGGTGTGCCGCCCACTTGGAACGATTACCTTCTTGAGTGCCCTGTCTCGCAGAGACGTTCAACTCCTTCTTAAGAGCGTTGGTATGGACTCGTGGAGTAGGGTGAGCCCTAGTGTAATAGGATTTAACGTCGGGACGAAGTTCTACTTCGTAGTCGTCCATCCCAACTCCCACACTATCCTCGACTGGGTCGAGCACTTGGTTGAAAGGTATGAGGCAGTTCTTGCTCTCCTTGTTTAACGGATTTCGACTCTGGCGTTTCTGCTTAAGTCTATTTGTTCATACGTCGTATCAAGAATCTTCTGAGACTATCTGCATTGTCGCTGACAGCTGCAGAATCAGAAATGGAGAAGTTCTCCTTTCTATTGGTATTGCTCTCTTTCGCCGGGAAAAATGCATGGTTCCACCCCACTGACATGGTAGTGAAATCAAACTTGATTCTTAGGTCGCAGAGAGTGTCTTGACCTATGATCACGTCTTGCGCCCCAAGTTCTTGGTGACGTGTAAATTCCACTTGAAATTCTATCATCGTGGAACTCAGGATCGCGAGTGTGCCCTTACTCTTGTGCAGGGTTTCAATTCCTTATAGACGCAGTCCATAGTGTTTGGAAGCCCCCATGATCTTCATAGTAAACTCTTAGAATGACTTGAGCAATTAAAGTTTCGATGCTCTGTATCCAAGCACAGAGTGTAACAGGTTTCGTTTCCCTTTCGCTCGTCTGTTAAATCTAACATAGACGATAGTTTCAAGGTCTCTTGTCGTGCGACGTGATGAGTTGATTGGCCATGGACGAAGTTAACGATGTGAACAGATCGTCAGTGTCTAGTGAGTAGTTACTAGGCAATTATTATTTGCCGTAGACTTCTTTAGTTGCAAACAAATCTTGTTTACTATTTAGTGAGATATTCTTCTCACTTAGGTATTAGAAATCGAACATGGTTCCTTGAATCATCATCCTGGCCTAACCCTCAGACGGAGATCTCTCCATCGAATGATTGAAGTCGAATTGGCAAGCGCCTTGTCGACAGCAGCCATTTTCTTGTCCATCATGTTGATGGATCCAACAGAGGATCTCCTCGTTGTCGGAGTGTCGACTTGCGTTTGGAACATGGTTGCATTCGCTTTTCTTCTTGCGATCAGCCTTGACCGCAGGATGGAAACCTTCTTCATGAGGACAGAGAGTTCCTTCTTGTGTAGGTCTTGGCGTCGGACTTGCGTTTCCAAGTCTTGTTCTTGTTGTACGCTGGCTTGTTATCGTTGTCAGACGAAGACTGAGACTTGGCCTTGAGCTTCTTCAGGGTCATGCAGTCAGCAGTGTTGTGAGTGCTGGACTCGTGTAGTCACACCATTTTTCTTCGTCTTGGAAGAGTTTTCGTTGTTGCGAGTAGACTTGTACTTCTTGCTGTTGTTCTTCTTCGTAGGAGCTTGCTTGGAATCACCGCCCTTGTCAAAGTCTTCGGAGGATTCCATGCGTCGCAGAATCCAATGGTTTCCCGATAGGAGCTGAGAAAGATCGAATCGTGTTCGTCCATCTTCTTCATCCACGAGCGGAATCCATGACAAACAATGTCAATGACTTCGTCTGGTTCAACGTTTGGTTGGGTCAAAAGGTGGTAGACGAGGAGTTCATCGGTGTTCATCGACTGAGGTTGTTGACATAAGCCCGAGTAGCATATCGGCAGGCTTACGCATCTTTGCGGCGCATGAAGCGTTTCTGCTTTTCAAGGCCTTGTAGGACAGACCGCTTCGATACAGGCATTTATGCCAAACGTATGTCAGCGTCGTCCAAAGCAGGTGAGCTGCTCCTTCCAGGCAGCCTGGAAACGTGCTGGAAAGTGGCTTCGTCTTACCCCACGTATCGCGGGAGAATCGTTGACTCAATCTGGCGCAAAGCATCCAACGTATTTCACGATGCCTGCACAGCTAGATTCGTAAATGCTCTTTGCAGAGCTAGAAGTCATCTCCCTGAGGAGGTTATGTTTGTCGTCGGCGTGCAATGCGAGCAATGGCGAGCCCACAAAGACCTTCTCCATACGTCCACCCACTTGATGGTCTGACGTGGAGTCTCAGATCATTGATGATTTGGACCTTGAAGGTGTACTTGGCACTTGTTAGCATCTGCTGGAATAGTGCGAAGTTTGTAGGTGGTGGAGCGAGAATCGTCGATTTCGATTCATCATCGAGGTCGATGAGAGGAAGGATTGGTTTGTCACGCAGCTTAGACCCGAAGCTGGTGTATGCGTCTTTGCAATCTTCATGGTGAGGAATAGGTTGAGGGTAGCTGAAAGCTATTGTGTTTTTAACAAAATGCACTACGCTAAAAGCTAGTGTAAAGATCTTTCGAGTGTTTGAGTTTGAGAGAATGAAAGTTATGAGAGGATTAGGAAGCTATGAAAACTAATCAACGGAGAGATCCACAATCAAGGATCGTAGATCTGAACTCCGCGGGAGACTGTAGAGTGGATAGAGTAGGTTGCGTACAATCCTACTCGTTCCACGATCCAAAACGGAACGCGTGGAAGATTCGTCTAGCTTCATCTAGTGGCGTGGAAGTACTCCAGCTGGCTAAATATCTTAGAGCGATGTTTCATCATCACCTAGTATGACATAGAGCGGTCATTGAGATTCTGTCTCCAATGACTATTCGCGAAGGACTACGTCATGAGTCGAACCCAGACCCTATCTAGGATCGAGTCGCGAATAAGGCTAAGAGCCGTGTATTGCACTTGTCTTGATATGTTCTTCCAAGAGGGTCGCCATTCTTTTTGCGTTCCATGATTCTTAACACTGTTGCCGCCCCAGTGAAGGGAAACCAGGGATTCTGCTTCTCTTTGCTTTCTGTGAGCAGGAATTTCTCTATGTTTAGCAGCTGCCGATCTTCCATCATATCAGTGAAGAACCTCAGAATCCTACGTCGGACTTCGATTGCCAGCAACAAATGGACATTGGAGGTTTGTGTGTTCTTCTTGTTAGAACCCGCTTCACTTGGATTTGAACCACTTCCAGATCTTTCCATTGCTTCCTCTCTGCTCGCTTGTAACTTTAATGTTTCTATGAACGTTGATGTAAATGTGAAAGCTTTTCCACTAGCTTCACCCAACAGATGCAGGTTTTGTGACATGAGTTCACCAAAGATGTGGTTATTCATCTCATCAACACCTTTCCAACGACAGCTGCTTCCAAGATGACGCAACAAGGTTTTCTTGCTTTCCATTGGAAGTTGTAGGAGCTGTCCAGCTTCTTTTGCCCAGTGTCCAGCCAAGTCTGTCAATTTCTTCAAAGAAACATAGAATAGCGACCTCACTTTTGTAGTATTTCCGGCAAGAAGTGCCGCTGATATTTTGGATGTGATGGTGTCACTTTCGTTCTGATTGACGCTTGCATTGTCCGCCTGGCCAAACAGCCTGTGTGAGTCTTGGCATGTCCTGCCTTGGCGGTGACCTGAGTTGCCATCTGGTTGGTACACCCCCTCATCTTTGTCGTGGGCTAAGTCGCCATCTGATTGGTCTATTTCCTCATCTGTGTTTGATTCCGCTACAACTGTATTGAAGGCGCCCCCAAAGCCAGGACAATCTGCATCAGAATCGGAAGTATCAACACCATCCAGATGAGTGAAGAAACATTTATCATCATGCAGGAAAGCACTGCTTTCGTTTCTGTCTGGCTCCATGACACTGCTTTTGACAGTATCAGTAAAACATGTAGCCCCTGCCCCCACCTCTGACTGCAGGAAAGCACTGCTTTTGTTTCTGTCTGGCTCCATGACACTGTTTCTGTCTGGCTGCATGGCGCTGCTTTTTGTTTTGCATTGCTTCCCAAACAAAGGAAGGGAGTCTTGTAGAGAGCTAGAGAAGGGATATCCAAAAAGTGACTGAACACTGAGTACTGGAAGTCCCCCGATTGGCGAGTGGGAGTCGCGAAAGTCGTTAAAGTGGCGAAAGTGGTTAGTCGCGCAAAGTCGTGCAAGTCGCGCAAGTCGCGATTCAAGTCGTTCCAAGTCGCAATTTTATACTAGTAAAAAGCTTATAATGTCGCACTAAGTCGCGCTAGTCGCGGTAAGTGGCGCTGCTAGTCGCACTAAGTCGCGATTTTAAATCGCGACTTAGAAACCGCGACTAGCGCGACTAAGGGTTGAAGTCGTGAAGGTGACATCACTGGGGGACTTCCAGGTAGGGCAGAACTGCCCAATCCCTAAAACCTGACCTGTTTGGCGAGACTTGACTCAAAACATGCATGACAATTAAGTCAGTGGGAGCTGCGATACCTCAGCAGAAAGACAGATAGAAGAAGGATGACATGTTTGAGATTGCACTCTTCTTTCAAGCTAGCCTTGGCGACAACACCCGACGAATTGCCGCCCGGTATCATTCCCTCATTGTAATCTTCTTTTTTATTTAAGCTAGCCCTGGCGACAACACCCAACTTCGTCGTGTGTTGCTGCCTGCTAACTATAATTTTACAGCTGTCTTTTCCCTTATGTAACTGTAACCTTTGTAGCTTCTGCTGGCTTATTGTGTTGAGTGCACTAACCTTGAATAATCATGATTTATTCCTACCCCTAAACTTGTTAAATCTTCAATTTCCAGTTTTGTTGGCTTATGCCTATCTCTATCCCTATATTTTGGATTCACTGGAATAGGAAATAGCATTTAAGTCAGCAGGAGCTGCAATACCTTGGCAGAAAGACAGATAGAAGAAGGAGGATTATGTTCCGATTGCACCCATCTTTCAAGCTAGCCCTGGCGACAACACCCGACTTGCCGCCCGGTATCATTCATGCCCTCATTGCAACCTTCTTTTTATTAAGCTAGCCCTGGCAACAACACCCAACTACATCGAGTGTTGCCACCCACTACTCTATAATTTACCAGCTGCCATTCCCTTATTGTAACTCTAACCTTTACAGCTCCTGCTGGCTTATTGCGATGTTGTGATGATTGCACTAGTCTAACCTTAAATATTAATGATATATTCCTACCCCTAACTCATATTGAACCATCAATGTTCAGTTTTGTTGGCTTATGACTATCTCTATCCTTATACTTTGGCTTCACTGGAATGGGAAATAGGAAATAGCATTAAAGGGGTTGAGAACTCAGGCAGTTTACCTGCTGAGGTAAACTGACTAGCTACATGTAGACACTACAACAAGAATGTCACCAGCACCTATGCTATAGATAAAACAGAGTCTAGCAGATTATAGAGCTAGCTAGCTTGTTCTGGATACAATATTTGAAGAAAGACGAAGGCGTCGGTGGGTTGGGTGGGCTGGCTGGGTTGCAATAAGACCGGCACATACCAACAATAAATAGATGGGTGTTTGCAGTGCGCCATCAATTGCTTTCTTCTTCGGAAACCGAGGAAACTTCGGCGGGGGGAGCATTGGCTAATTCAGAGGCGAGGCGTTCACATTCTTCTTCATAATGCTCGCAGCTGCGCTTCCACCCATTCACCTCGGTAGTAAGCCTCTTGTTCTCGGCCGCCAACTCAGCGATGGCGTTGGCCTGGACTTGTTTTTCGGATCCAGACACTGGGTGCATGATGTCTGCCTTCGTACATAGCTTGGCGACGGCAGCCTGTTTTGCTGGGCGCATGCTCTTGCTAGACCCTTGAGCTTTCTTGGCAGGAGCGGTAGTAGCCTTCTTGGTGCTGGGAGAATGTTTCTTGGTCTTCATGGTTGGCTGGTCGGTACTAGTACTTTCTAGAATCTTAGAGACTGTGAGAGAATGATATCGATTTTGTGTTCCTAATGCGTCGGATGCATCCTTGTATCGGTTGCTGAAAGGAGTCTTCATCGATCTGGTCCCATCACGATAGGGGTGTTGATAGTATGCTGCTGAAAAAGAGGAGTCTTCATCGGTCGGTCCCTGTCACGATAGGGGCGTTGAGTACATTGATGAAAGACATCACGATTGAGGAGTTGGCTGGATACTACCAGGTAGAGTAGTAGGTATATTGTAGGTAGAGGTCATGGTAGAGTAGGTCATGGTAGTGTATGCTGCTGAAAAAGAGGAGTTTTCATCGGTCGGTCTGTGTCACGATAGGGGCGTTGAGTACATTGATGAAAGACATCACGATTGAGAAGTTGGATACGTACCTACCTACCTACCTACCTACCTACCTACCTACCTACCTACCTACCTACTACTACTACTATTTTATTATTGTAGAGTCACGGTACGCCGCTGAAAAGAGTGGACAGTCTTCATCAGTCCTCTTCTGGTCCCATCACGAGAGAGGGCGTTGAGAGCAAAGATGAAAGATTCTCGAATCATTCGGCAGTTTGTGAGCAAAAAGTCACTTTTGCTAAAACTACTAGACTACTGGCCCGGAATTAGAGGTTTCAGCCAAAAGAGCTGAAACCTCTGATTCCGGGACAACAGGCGCCCAAAATAACTGTTTCAGTTATACTGGAGTTCGCCCAATATTGGGTTAGGGTTTACGCGCCTGTTGTCCCAGTTTTTCATCAAAAACCGGGACATCAGGCGCGCAAAATAACTGTTTCAGTTATACACTATACTGGAGCTATAAATTTCATACGATTTTAGCAAAAAGTGACTGAATTAAGGAGTTTTACTCTTGATCAGCACAAACTGCCGAATCGCCAAAACACAGGCTTCAGCCCAGTGCTGATGAGTTCGTGGCCTAGAAATGCTAGCTTTTTTAAGTCGAAGAAGGTAAAGCTTCGCCGTTCAATCATGCTTCATGTCGTAGATGACGTAATGGCGAAGCGGCGAAGGTCCGAAAAGCTATGATAAGACCAAGCCTGAGTCAGAGTCGAGTCGAGTCAGAGTCGAGTCGAGTCGAGTCGAGTTGAGCGTCACCAGAGAGGATGAGACATGTAGGTACCAGTACCAGGCAGGCAGTAGCAAAGGTAAACTCCCTGCGCGCAGTTGTCCTAGCTAATTAGTCAGCTAAATTCGTTGACCCATTTTTAAAAAAGGGGCACAAGGTTCTCTGAACAATACCACCCAACACCAACACCAACACCATTAATATATATTTAAATATATATAATATAAATAAACTGAATACCCAAGAGGCGACAATGACCGATTGACGCAAACCATTTGGTGCTATTGAAGTGGGCTTGTGGGCTTGGTTTAATGAGTGGAATGACATGTTCGAGTGCTGCAGCTGTGGCAATTTGGAAGTTCTCAAATGGGCTAGGGCAAATGGCTGCAATAACATGCGCCAGTGCAGCCGATCAAGACTTTGTGCCGAGGAACGCAGCTAGCTCACAGGAGTGAGCAAACTGAAGACTTTGAGCTACGATGACTGGAGATACACTACCCAGTGCGATACGAAAACTAACTATAAGAGCAGACTCATCGCACGACGTAGTGCAGAAGTAGTGGCCGGAGCAGAGTACCGGTACGGATCCAAACCAACAGAAGCGACACGAGAGTCCAGAAGAGCCAACACTAAGAGGTGTTTCCACGAAGAGGAACTAGATATCAAGTTCCAACAGCAAGAGGGAGATAACCCAGAGGTACTTCTGTGGGAGGTTCCTATCCTCAACAAGAGAGCCACGAAAATAGGCTACTAGAGTTGAGGTGTGACGAAAAATACCATGGCAACAAGCCAGATTGCCAGGGTGACTACACGGCAACGACAAGAGCTACAACAGAGCTATCATACAAGGACCTGCCCTTTGAACACTAGCGCAACAGGCCCCAAGAGTGCAAGCAGTCGAAAGCGATCAAGGGATCAAACGACGCTAAGGCGACAACAAGAACAGGCCGACGTCAAAGTACATTGGCAGCTCCGGTGAGAGTCGAGTACTAGCTACTAGTACCAGGTAGAGTCAATTGCATCAAGTCAAGGCAGCATCAACACCACTGCCATAAGTCAAGTGTTGCTGCCGTCAAAATTCTCAGCATGCAAAAGCACCAAGGAACGAAGTACCGCCGGTCATGTTCCGTGACCATGACAAAAGGGCTGGGAATAGTACCAATGGTGTTTCTAGCAAAGCACTGGGAAAAGAGACAGCATGGCAACACAGACTATGGGTGGAGAGCCATTCGAGCTACCGCTATCTATGAAGGCTGCTGGCACTGTCATTGGTTTGAATTGCTAGCTGGCCAGTAGCTAGCAGTGCTCATAGTTCAGCTCGTCCACCACAGAGGAATTGTTGCAATTGAAGCAAGGAATTATTGATCACAACAAACCCACCGCAGCACCCTATATTGCGAGACCCAGTAGGCCTTGTGTGGAGCTGCCAAATTTTGGATCAACTGGCCCCTTACAAACCCCTTCATTAAGTCGTATCGTGAGGAAACCTCACGGATTGGGTTAGGGTTTGCGCGCCTGTTGTCCCGGTTTTTCATCAAAAACCGGGACAACAGGCGCGCAGAATAACGGTTTCACTACAGGCGCGCAAACCCTAACCCAATATTGGGCGAACTCCAGTATAACTGAAACAGTTATTTTGCGCGCCTGTTATCCCGGTTTTTCATCAAAAACCGGGACAACAGGCGCGCAAAACCTAACCCAATCTTGAGCAGAGCACTACAGGCGCACTTTTCCAAGCGGGAGCAACTACTGACTCCTGCTGCTGGATCTGTCAACCAAAAACACTAATAGCAACAACGATAACAATACGACGGTCACTTCTATACCATCACCACACCTATTAGACCCATTGGAAGCATTGAAACGAAGCGAAAGGACCTCAGGAAGCCTGTTATCTGTTATCTTGTTGAAGAGTACTGTTTTACTATAGGAATCCACCCAACATCATCACAGAAAACACACATCCCTTTTCCTCTCTTTATCTTTCATTCAAGCCCTCTGGTTGACAGGATCGACACCTCCTCTGGTATCTCCTATCAAGCGCACCTCTCCTATCAAGCGACTATCAAAGCGGCCTTCCCCGGTTCAGATTAGAAAGCCATCCCAATTGAAATCCTACGAGATCGGGCGGGTTTTCTATTCTCGACTGCCGACGGCCAAGTTGGAAGAATTTGAACACAAGAAGAAGTCACCGGCTTTCAGTAGACTCAGCAGTGCAAGTTTCCTCCATACCCTGCAGTGAACTGACATTGCTCTTACTACCGACGGCCCAAGAAATCCCATTGTCGGCCGATCCTCTTCTTCGAACGATCGATCTTTTTCCTCAACAACAACAGGCTCGGTTAACCTTATCCCTAAGGCAACTGACTCACCGGAAACGCGAACTCCGAATCGAATCGATTTGACCTGGTAATCGAATCGAATCCAAGACTCGCTACTCCGTGAATCGACTTCCCGCGACCGTACCTCTTCCTCCGTACACAGCCTATCATCAAGCAGGACTTCACGAGATACCTGCAGTGACCGCCGAGAACAGAAACACAGCTGTATTTCTTACTTCCTCACTGGCCACTAGTGGTTTCTCCCGACGTCCTTGTTGGCACTGATACCTCCTGCTACTGTTACCACTCCCCCATTGATATCTAACTCCTCTCCCAGAGGAACAACAAACAACAACAGAGTTCCTGTAAGGACTTGAGTTCTGCTATCTCCAGGCTCGGCTGCTTTCTTGGTCGGTTTACAGCCCCCCCTGGGATATCCAGCTCCTCTCCAAAGGATCTCACCCCCACAAGAACCAACAAAAGTTGCCCCTCTAGCACCACAGCTAGATTGTGCAACACCCCCCTTATTGAACCAGTCACCTCTCTGCTCCTGCTCCTGACTCTCCTACTGAGTGTGTCTGACTCCAAAGGATTGAGCCCCAGTCAGAACTGCAGCGTGGTGTGGCTCAGATATCAACCACCGCCTGACCCTATTACCTCTCTAGCTGATTGTTGAGTGACTCCTCAGTCTTTGTCCATTCCACTGAATCGAGTACCCTCTACAAATCTTGGCTTGACTCTCTGCTGAAGTCTGTGGTGGCCTTCACCAGATTGGGTACCAGCCTTTGAGACAACACAGTGTCAACCAGTAACACAGCCCCATCAACCAACAACACCCCTTGATCCCCCCACCACTGCCTCTACTGGCTATAGCGTGACTTCTCCATTGGGCGAACTCCAGTATAACTGAAACAGTTATTTTGCGCGCCTGTTGTTCTGTGATGAAAAACCGGGACAACAGGCGTGCAAACCCTAACCCAATATTGGGCAAACTCCAGTATAACTGAAACCGTTATTCTGCGCGCCTGTTGTCCCGGTTTTTCATCAAAAACCGGGACAACAGGCGCGCAGAATAACGGTTCTGTAACAGAGTTGAGTCTAAAAGTGACTTCTAAAAGGGCCTTCCAGACATAATCTCAGAAGCAATCGAAATCAACACAACAGTACAGTACTCTACACCACTAGTGTCTATCCGACAGGCAAATATTGTTAAATAATGACAGAAATCGCCGAATAACAACAGAAGTGCAACCCAATACCACTTACTGTACGATTTCTAGGAACAAATGGGAACAAGTTCA